GCTCCTCCTTGACAAAAGTTTATTACAGAGATGGTGGAAGGCTATCCTGCAGACAACCTAGTTTAATCCAAGTCGTTCTCCAGAGTGGATTTTGGCAGCCGTCTGGGACACGTTAGCTCCTATATTTAGGAATATTACTGTCCACGTTTTTGCGAGGAAGGAGCTGGATACGGTGCTCTAAACAAGAGCTGGGAACTCGTGTCATCCGCAGCTATAGCCTGGCTCGTATATAAAAAGTTCGTGGTTATAACACCCCAACGGATAATAGCATCCCCTCTGCTCTGATCACTGTGACAGGCTGCAATGTGCGTGTTCATTAATACAATGCGAGGAGCAGTCGGCTGGAAGAGAGAACGGTGGTAGTAGCTCGAGAACTGGTGTACTTCAAAGTGGACAGTTCTACTCTCAACAAGACCCGATTATGTGAACAGGCTTACTTGAAGGGGTTGAGTGTCAACTAGACTTTTTTATGGAGTGGTCGCTGAACGGCAAAGCGGTGTGACGCACTTATTGGACTACGTTCTTGCCAATATGTACGATCGAAAGTACGTGTTGATGACCAAAGAGGTCTGTGACGCTGATGACAGAACGGATCAGGGCCTCTTCGTCTCCAAATCGAGGCTCCGACGTCACTCGCGCAGGTGAACAGAAGGCACGCGATCATCAGGTAATTTGGACAGTCTTCTGCTAAATGCTACGATTTCAGCCGTCATTTCGCCCGGCGATTGGAAGAGCTGCCGGTATGGGACAAAAAAGCCACCGTGGAGACATTATGGCGTTACTTGCGCAATGCCAGCCAGAATTTCGGTCTCTGAAAAACTAAAGGATGTTAAAAAGTTGCCTGGGGTTTGGCCCCAGTGAGAGCCTTTAGGTCAAGGTCGCGGGAAAATTCAATTTCTAAAAACCGAAAGGGAATGGACAAGACTTTGGTTATCACGGAGGAATCTCGCTACTCAACATGCTTGAGGACATCGTCGCGTGCAGTCTGCTCAACATTGAACTCAAACTTCTACCGGAAAGCCAATGTAGATTTTAACGAAATCGCGGCATCATGGTCATGATATTCACAGACGGCCAGAAAAAGTGCCAGGAGATGCTGACACACACGCGCTTCAGCCACATGGATCAGACGAGAACATTTAACACGGTGAATCGTGATGGAATTTGGAAAATCATACACGTGGTGCGTCGGCTTCACAACCGGATGACGGCTCGCGTCACGGACCATGAGACAGTATCAGAAGCGGTGGCGGTGATCAATAGAGTGAAACAGGCCTACGTACCCGATCTCATCCTCTTCAATCTCATGGCTTCTGCTTTACTGATGGACGCCTACATTGATGAGCCACTCGAATCCGCATTGACTAATAGACCGTCGGTAATCCCCACAGTAGCCGCTGCATGAAGGACCTAACAGGCTTATTCACAAATTCTGTCCATGACCTTCTCTTGGAGGAGGCCTGCACTCCCAACACCGCAGCAGAAGAGGATATGCAACAGAATGTGACTCTCTTTGCCATTGATTTCACCAAATTCGGGTTGACCAAATACAAGAATAGAACGCCGGTTCTGCCTTCAACGAGTGCTGCATCATTTTTAACGGCTCCCGAATTACGCAAGGGATACATTGGCGAGCTTAGGGGGAAAATGCTCGCGCAGAATTAAAATTGAACACGAAAAAGCCCAGCCAAGCATTAGGCTTGGCCGCAGGCTTTACTGTGGAATCATCTTGATTTCCATCTCAACACCAAGCTCAAGATTTAAAAAAACTGTCCTTATACGGAACTGCTATTTGGAAAAAAGTCCTAGACCGTCTATAAGAAATAAGCAAGAAAATTCTACTATTTCCTCCTCAACTTTTTCCGGGCATAGTAGGGCAGGATCCTGAAAATTAAAGTCATGGAACGGATCGGCATCATCAGCATTCACCTCTTCCTGAGACTGATTCAAAAGGATGGGAGCGGCCGTCTCGTCGGGATAGATAATGAGCGCCTATCCAAGCAACTGAGCTACGGCAATGCCTATGTCGGTTATCATTGACAAGGTGGACGAAAAGACGCTACGAGGAAGCCTTGAAATCTCCCACAAACCTACAAATCAACCCGAAACCTAAAAAGAACCTTGGCAAAGACCAGTTGACTTGGAGAAGCGCAACTAAGACTCAAACCGTAATTTAGGTAGCCGATCGGCTACCAAAACCAAAAGAGTTGCTCGCAAATCTACAGTGCCGTCAATACACAACGCCACGATTTAGCCCCTTCCATGTCAATCAGTCCCACCCACCATCTCCCCTGTCACATCCTCCACGATGGCATGACTACCCCCTGCCGCTGTCCCAACAATCACCCTCACTAACACCACCCCCACCAGCAGCAATGTAGATTCTATTCAAGCCCGTCCTCACTACCATTGCGCATTTACCTCATGCCTTGTCAGTTACGTGTAAAGCCGACGGACTGTGGCCGGTGTACGAGTACCAGGAGCCCTGACATATACTCGCCGCAGCTACCTTAACTGTCTGCACTGCCCGCTTACATTCACTGACCCCATTGACCTATTTGGTAACATACGCATCAACGCCATCGGAATTCATCACATTATGTTTATCACAAACACACCTTGCACGTCGGCAAATCTTTCCAGTTCCAACACTACCGACTTCCCAGCCTCTAGAGTGTCTATCACTGACAGCATCATAACTACAACTGCCTCTGCTGCCCCCAAGCTATCCTGTCAGCGTCGCCACGGGATATGAACATCGTGCAACCGCTTTGTCGGCCGCTTGCAAATTCATCGTACAGATACTTGCAAAACAGTTCTAAAAGCACCATTATACATCCGTCGTCATCGTCTTAACTGTGCGCATTTCCTTCTCAAATGCAATCATCACATGAACCAACATAGTCACACCCGCCGCCATGAAAGCCTGCACTAAGCGGTGGCAGTCAAAACCACATTCTTACAGGTCCGGCCTCGCACCCCGCAGGCACAACTGAAGCACCACTCACGTAAATGGAAAGTCTGTTTTTTCTCTCTATGCTATCTGTAAGATCTGAGAAGTCCATCCCTCTTTGTGTAAACTCCTGTTGCTTTGTGTGGGAGGTCAGATCATGTGTGTGGCATGTGGAACTGGGCAGTTTTTGGTTTTTAGCTACCCTTCTCAGTCCTACCATTAGTTAGTTTACAGGCTCCGACAGTTGGTTGGTAAGTGAGAAAGGAAAAAGAGCGTGAGATCGACTACAAACTAATTTTCTTAGTATAAACAATCTCACGCGCATGAGACTGCTACGATGCGCTAAAGGCAGTAGTTTGGGAGGTTGTCAGCTGAAAAATCAAAGCAGACCTTGCCGTCGACCCGGCGTGTGGAACAGGAGTCGGGATGCAACCGCTCCTTTTTAATGAAGCTTCTATGACGCACCTTCTCAGTTGGAATCTGAACAAACCTCCACCGTTTTCGATATGGAAAATCGTTGTACAGACCCTCCTCTATTTAAGAACGTTCAGACATACGAACGAAACGAGTGCATGCATTACTGTATTACTGGTAGGTCAGAGAATAAGAAAACATATATATATATATATATATTGATTTACTTCCGTGCTTAGCTAAGGACGTTAATTTGAGTACATGATAGTGCTACGCAAAGTGATATTGCATAGCAAATTAGAAACATCTCGAGGTACGAACGGCCGTTCGAAAAGTAGCTCGTTCGCTAGTTGAGGAATGTATGTAATCTATGCGTAGACTAGGCATGTGATGGCACGCCTAGGTGTAGGCTCGCGCCGTGATAGTCATCTGTATCCCCTCCTTATTTCAGTCTCATTGATTTGATCATGATACTGA